TCTCTCTCTCTCTCTCTCTCTCTCTCTCTCTCTCAACGTAACGTTATAGACTTGTATTGAGTCCATATCCCCAACATATAACATTACCAGCTAAGTTTTAGCTGTGGTTAAAAAGACACAATGACAACAAAACAAAGAAGGACGTACAGACCTGTCTGTTGTCTGTAGTCTAGCAGAGAGTACGATGATGATGATGATGATGATGATGATGATGATGATGATGATGATGATATGATGATGATGATGATGATGATGATGATGATGATGATGATGATGATGATGATAATAATAATAACAATAATAATAATTAAATAGCTCGTCTTATATAACGCATATCCACACTTTGCAACATGCTCTATGCGCTTTACAACTATCAATACCCCAGTAGACCATAGAACATTCAGAAACATTCTGGGCTTCTCAACCAGTACGCATACAGTGCAAGCTGAGGATTGCACACGCTCAAACACTTACAAGCTGACAAGATCATTCGCTGTCTATAGCCGGGTACCCATTCCCACCTGGTTGAAGAGAGGAAAATTCGTTTGAAGTGCCTTTCTCAAGGACACAACGTCGGGTCCCTGACGAGGTTCGAACCCACGACTTAACGGTTGCGAGTCTGATAGCCTAACCACTAAGCCACCGACGCCAATAAAGAAAGAGGTACGGTACGAACCTGTCTGAAAGCCCTGTAGTCCAGCAGTCGAGAGTACGCTGTGGTGCCTGCGATGATCAGCTTCGGTCGGAACAGTCTGGCATGCTCCAACAGCTGGTCGTAATCTATAAGGCCATTCTGAGGCTGCAGCAGCAAGAAATAAATACACTAACCTTAGACGATTTATTTATTTATTTAAATGCATAAAACTGTATTAACAACAGAAAGCATTTGTTTACGGTAGCACAAATTCCCGTTCAACAGCAAACTCTATATTATTTAATATGTACTGCATAATCTACATTATTACTCTATTATTTATGTATGCTTCCCGGGAAGCTGAGAATGTTTTGGAGTGTTCTATGGTCTGCTAGGGTAATAATATAGTGTAAAGCGCATAGAGCCTGCTGCTGAGCGGGGATATGCGTTATACAAATGCTATCTATTATTATTATTATTATTATTATTATTATTATTATTATTATTATTATTATTATTATTATTATTATTATTACTCCAGAAGACCTGATGGCATTCTGAAACAATCTCAACTTCCGGGGAAACATACAGTGCAAGCTGCATTTTTATAGGCGCTAAAACACTAACAAAAATATACTGATATACCGTATTAAAATTTGCAATACCAATGCAGAGTCAAATTCTTTAATTCTCAGAATTAGAAGCTAGGAAAGTACACTGTATGTGCACAAATGTTAGCTGAAGTTGACCATCATATTTCATTCCGACAAGCATAATACTAAGGCGATTATCAAAACAAGCGCACAGCCGTTGGTATAAAAGTTGGCGTAGCTGTTGTAATAACAAGAGTGTGAACGAGTATGTCCATCCTATGGTATACACGTTTTTGGTTATTGTTTGTTCGTTTTTTTCGTCGTCGTCGTCGTCGTCGTCGTCGTCGTCGTTGTTGTTGTTGTTGTTGTTGCTGCTGCTGCTGCTGCTGCTGCTGCTGCTGCTGCTGCTGCTGCTGCTGCTGCTGCTGCTGCTGCTGCTGCTGCTGCTGCTGTTTGTTTATTTGTTATTCCTCTTTCATTCCTGGAGCACCATCCAGCTATTTCCACTTACATTGATCTTGTACGGCATACACTGAAAATATTTGGCGGTGGCAGACACTTTCCGTGTATCTGTCATAAAGCCGTGGGTGAGACTGGGAGGAGAGAGGAATGCAAGAAATAATGTCAGTTGGTTGATTTGTCTGTCTTTCTATCTATTTGTCTATCTATCTATATCTATCTACTTATCTCTCTATCTCACTATCCATCTTGCTATCTAAACATACGTATATTATAAATCCATCACGTGGTCAGGAAAAAATGCGAATTTTCTATTTTTTATGTTAATACTGTGTACACTAACTGAAGCATTAAAATGTTATTTTTCATAACATAGTCAACATTTTAAAAGACACATTATTTTGTATTACTCACATGACAGGAAAGGCGCAAGGACTCAAAGGACTAGATTTTATGCAAAATCGAAAAGGAATACCACATTTTTTTAGCGTCAGTATATGAAGAGCTGTTAGGTAGGTACAATGACATGTCACTGAGAGTTTTGCCATAGCAGAACCAACAGATAGAAAAAAAAAGACAACTCATTCATACCATCACCTATAAATGCCATTCAGTCATTGTCATCTGTGCAAGAATAGTAAAAGTGTGTATGCCCATCCAATGACTATTAGTTTGTATACTATAAATAAATCACTGATGGTCAGTGTGTATACTCATCCAATGACTATTCTTAGAAATCTTATCTTATCTTATCTTATCTTATCTTATCTTATCTTATCTTATCTTATCTTAAAAACCCACTCACTGTCCCCCGTCCGGCAAGTCAAGGCCCATAAGTCTGTCATTAGGTTCCAGGAGCGCCGTGAAGGCGGCAAAGTTGGCGGGACTCCCGGAGTAAGGCTGTACGTTGACCCCCCACTGGGCGGGGTCCAGTTTGAAGGCCTTCAGAGCTCTCTGCTGGCACAGACTCTCTAGCTCATCCACGTACTGGGTGCCTCCGTAGTACCTGGTGGGAGGAAAGACCCGGGGGAGGGGCGGCCGGGAGGGGGAGAGATAGGAGGAGAGGGCGGGGGAGGGGAGGGGGGGGGGGTCGTTTTGTTGGACACAGCGGAATTATCTTATCTTATATAAATCAAAATGGATCTTATCTTATGTTATCTTGCACTTCAAACTGGACCTTCTTATCTTATAAATATATCTACATCTTATCTTATCTTATGTAACGTTATCTTATCGCATCTTATCTTATCTTTAACATCTCATCTCATCTAGTCTAATCTCACATAATCTTATCTTATCAT